TATGAACCTTTCTCATGAGATTCTCCAACAGAAGCCATTGCAGAAGTTCAATGTTGGGGATCACTGTCAGATGATCTACTGAATATTTGAGGGCCTAAGGGAGGCTGTGGGTAATTGCAAGCAAACCTGTCTATATGACTACTTTAGGGACAGGGAAAGTTACCAAGTCTAAAAAACAGCATTTCAGTGAAGAGCCAACCTGTGTCTGGAAAATTCATCCCTGACTGCTCTTCTTTATACTCATCTTCCAGGCTTTTTTTCAGATAAGGTCCATCTTGAGCAGTGATTCTGAGTGCTGAATGACGGATCTTTTGCTTACTCAATAAGCGGGTACTAGCAAAACTGTACATTGAGATGAATGAAACCAGATGCATTTCTATTACCCTGTGCAAAAATCATCCAAAAGTCCTTAGTTTAAAACACCAAATGCTGAAACTGCTAGAGGAAAAAAAAACTGGGAATGCTGGTGAAGATATAGATGTAGGCTGAAATTTCCTGAAGAGAACTCCAGGAGCTTGGGAACCAGCCCCAAGAACCAACAACAACTTGAATAGTTTCTTCATAGCAAAATAAACCAGGAGCATAGCAAGCAAACAGGGCCCACAATGGGGGCAAATCTTCTCCAGCTCTACTTCAGATGGGGCAAATATCTGCTTTACAAAGAACTGCAAATGTAAGTCCTTAAACCCATCACAAACCCACAAGACTGAAAAAATGAACAAATAGACAACTGAAATGCATGGACAGTTTTCAAATGAAGAAACAATAATAATGGCCAATAAGTATTGGTAGAAGTATTAAGGCAACTCCACCACAAATAAGTGTTTTAAAAAATGCTCAACCTTCTTATTCATTAGGGCAATACAAATGAAAACTACTTTGAGAAACCACTTCACTCCTAGTCATAATAGCTATCTATAAGAAATCTCAGTAGCAAAAATATTGTTCCTATAAATTATCAGTGAAAATGCACAGTTGAGATAGACTACTGTGACTTTGGGAAAAACACTTTATGGCACATTTACTTTCTTCCTTGGGGACTGAAACTGGATGTAGGTGGACAGGCCTGGCTGCAGTGTGCTTCACTCTCATCTTGTGATTTATGTGCTGAAAGGAACTCGTCCTCCTGTCTTTTGGGAGATGAAAGGGAAAGGAGCAAAGAGATGGGGCTGAAGATGGAGGAGCTCATGATGTGCCTGTTGGAGGTTACTGCTCATTGTCACCAATCACTAATCCCTTCTCTAATGGTCAATTTACAATAGTCAGATTCATTGCAGTATTGTTTTCCTTATAAATTGTAACATTGTAGGTGAAGTTGAAGGAGGCTGTGGGAGTATACAGCAGGTGACAACGAGTATTCAACAGGTCAATCCACCAGACGAGTAACGCTCTGATGGGGGGTCCCACCTGACAAAGTAGCAGAGTCACTGACTATAAATGACTGGTTGTTTCTGTGTGTAATTTCTCTCATGTGCCACTTCATTTCTTCCTTAATAACAGCTATGGGTATTTTCCCCACTGCATGTGTGTTCATCTCGTGAAAATATTCCCTCTTTGGGCACACATATAGCTGTGGATGCTCAGGAAGACTATTTCTGCTTACGTGTATAATTCTAATAATACTAGAATATTTTTCATAACTGACATAGGAAAGTAACAGTATTCTCAATTAATTACAAAGACAGCCTTTTACACATTGTGCTAAGACCTTAGAGGAAACTCAAAACAGATGAGCTGCCCCTGGAGATGAATACACAGGGACACATTCCCAGGTGTTTATTGCTGAATCAAAGTCAGACTTGAAGCAACTTTGGTAGATATAACTCTCTGCAGCAATTGGTTTTCTGCACATCGTCTTAGCTTCAGTTTATGTTGTAGGCTCAAGGTTCAGCCACCTAACTGTTTACTTTCTATCTGAGAACCCTAACCATTTAGGCTACATGCATGGCCAATCGTTACTCACTGGCCCATCAATGTGACCTCCGTAGTCTGAAAAAAACTGTGTGACTTATGTGTCACGAGAATGGGTAGGACTGGGAAAATTTAACATAAAATTGTCCAGAGTTTGGCTGTTAGGGTAGTAGAGAGAGTAGTGAGAGATGTGTATGTGCTGAGTGAGGGATGTAGCTGAATGGGCAGAGAGAAAAGTGTGAGAAATGAAAAAGAAGAAGAAGAAGAAGGAGGAGGAGGAGGAGGAGGAGGAGGAGGAGGAGGAGGAGGAGGAGGAGGAGGAGGAGGAGGAGGAGGAGGAGGAGGAGGAGGAGGAGGAGGAGAAGAAGAAGAAGAAGAAGAAGAAGAAGAAGAAGAAGAAGAAGAAGAAGAAGAAGCAATATGAGAGAAGTGTGAGAGAGGATTGGAACTAAAGAGAACCGGAACTAGAGAGAATTGGAACCAAAGGTTTAGAATAGAGAGTATTAGAGCCAAAGATTTAGAACTACAGAATTGGAACTGAAGGATTATAGCTAGGGAATTAGAGACAATTCTAACAAGAGAATTAGAGCAGAAGAAGAACAAAAGAGAGTGACCCTCAGATCGTGTGTGCTTTATTATAGATCAGAAATCTTTCTATTCCCGCTCTTGAGAAGTCTTTTTCTGAGTAACCCTGGGTAGCAGTTCTGGGAGCTGGACTCTTGGTTCACTAAATAAAGTAACATTAAGAAAATGGCTGATCGGAATTTTCTTTCTACATCTCTGATTTTAATTTTGGGAGTAGCTCACAAGGAAGAGAGAGCACCTTTGATGAGACTGGAAGTTTAGTGGTGAATTTCCAGCACACTGCAGGATCTAAAATTCTCAAAAACCTCAGATTCCAGGGCAAGGTTTACATCCCATATTACCCACACTCATCTCACCCAAGGTGGAAGTTCTCAAATAAATGTATAAATCTTGTCTACCTATGTAGAGTGGAACTCTGACAAAGAGTTCAAAGGTGATGATCAATTTTGAGTGGTTTCAGGTTATGGGAGTAGGAATGAGATGTTTTGAACCCTCCCATTCATCCTAAGGGATTTCTCATAATGTCTTGGAGTCCCTTGGCCATGGACCAATCCTTATTGGGCAGAGGCTCCATGTGTGCAAAGGTTACCCCTCTTTCCTCCTTTTCTCTCTTCCAAGAAAGGAATTGCCATATTTTATGATAGAACACAATTGTTAGCGTTTGTATGAGACAGGTCAATTAGTTGTAAACTTTCACACACATGCAGGTGAGTATTATATATAAAACTTTGAAGAGAAACCCTGTCTTGAAAAACCAAAAAAAAAAAATTACTTTGACTAAATGTCCTGTCATCTGCAATAAAACAGATGGACCTGATAAGCACCATGTAAATTAAGATGAACAAATGCAGCGAGACATTTTTACTTACATATAGAATCTATGAAAGCTTAATTTAGAGACTCCCTGTAGAAAAGTGGAAAACAGAGGAGTAAGAGAAATGAGGAAATGTTTGTCAAGATACACACATTTTCAGCAATAAAATGAATCAGTTCTAGGTCTGGAGAGATGGCTAAGGTTCTCAAATTCTTACTGTGGAAACATGTACACCTGAGTTTCACCTCCACCAACTACAGGAATGTAAATGAAGCTTCAGGCACCTGTAATAGCAAAGGCACAGATTCAGGAGGATCTCTGGCCCTGGCTGACCAGCCAGTCTAGCTGGACTCACAAGCTTCAGGTTCTCTGACACATACACTCAAAAAGACGTGCAGGGTCCAAGGCTCTAAAGTGTACAACAGTGACTACACTTAATGTTTCTTGTATGTGGAAGGTGTTAACACAGATCTTGGAAGTCGTCATCTCTAGAAATTGGTCATAGAGGTATGGGTTTTAGAGTTTGTATTGCTATGATAAAACACCACAAGAGAAAGATATTTGGGGAGGAAATATTTATGTTTCTCTTGTATTTCCAAGCAACAATCTATCACCAAGAGAAGGAAAGACAGGAGCTCAAGGCAGGAACCTTAAGGAGGACTGAAGCAGATGCCATGGATGGAATCTGGTTACAGGCTTCCTTCCCCTGTCGTGCTCAGTCTGCTTTCTGAGACACCCTCAGATGACCTGCCAAGGGCTTGTACCATCCATTGTGAGCAGAGCCCTTCCACATCAAACGCTAATCAAGAAAATGCCTGACAGGTTGTTTATAGGACAATCTGGTGCAGTCATTTATTCAGTTGAGGTTCTCTTTTTCCCAATCACTCTAGCTGTGTTGTTGACATAAAACTACACAGCACTATATGCCACATAATTTGATGATGGTAATCAATTTTTCATTTTATATATACACATATGAATACACATACACATATAGGAAGTTTTCACCACATATAATCTGAAAATGAAATTTCATTTTTCAATCATACTGCAATAAATCTGGAAAAATTTTGGCTCCAAAAAAACAAGGATTTACAGAAGTCAACACAGAAAAAGTATTTTGCAAATGTCCATAAGAGCATACCATTAGCTGCTAAAACCTTCCTCAGTACTGGTGTTATTACACTCACATGCAGACTGTCCTTTAATAATCAAATCCCATCAAGTTTCTAAATATTTTCTGTTCAGAGCATGAGGATAATGAAATGCTATTTGATTATCTTCATTTATATATTTTTTGTTTTGGCAAGAGAAGTGGCTAAGGAAAAACTGTCCAATGAATTTTAATCTGTTGGTGTAAAAAAAGGTAAGATAAATGTAAAAAAATAGATTGTAAATCAAACCATTGTTTTACAAACTATGACAAATTCACAATTTATATAAATTGATTAACATTTTCATGTCACAAAACAATATAGGATATGTAAATATATAATTTATGATATGTTCACAAATAGTATGTGTACATGTTAGTTCATGAATGTACACCACCTGCTTTTATGACATGATTGAGTATATATACATAATTCAATAGTATACATTATTCCAAAAACACACAATTTTGATGTTACTGATATGGTTAGAATATTGTATTCCCTGCACAGGCAAAACAGAGTGGAGACTCACAGAGTTAACGATTAATCAGCAGAAAGGGACTCACAGTTGGGAAACATGCAGCAACTACTGAAGCCATGTTTATCAGGAAAGAACCTGGATTATACAGAAGGGACAAATTAATCTGTAAGAGGCAAGAAAGGGTGTAAAAGCAGACAAAGACGCTCACCAAAAGAAGAATGGTCTTTGTGGCTCTGGATTCAGGGGAGGACCTGAGGGAGAAGTTGCTTCTATGAATGTGCTTCAATCTCTGCTTGTGTCTGCAGAGGATGAAAACCATGGAACTGCTGGACCAAAGCATCAGCAACATGAAGAAAACATCAGGACTTGTGACTAATACTGCAGAGAAAATGTCAAAGGCTTTGTCATGACGAACAGAAGAACAGTATTCAAACTCTTTAAGACTTGTCATATTCCTATGGTTCAATCTTGCAGTAATGTACATAGGAAAAGTTATGTTTACTATGAGGGCCAGGATCCAACTCATGTATACACCAGCAGCAATGTAAGTGGGAGACTTGACTTTAAGCCGTGACCACCTGGAACCCGATGGACTGATGGTAATGGCCTGGAAGACACTCAAGAAGCAGGTGCTGCTTAAGGACACGCCCCTCCCTACTCTGTGAAGATAAAAGATCAGTTTGCACCCAAAATCATTAAGGAAGTCTTTCAAACCAAAAGCTGCCATTGTCTGCGGTACTCCTTTACACAGGAGAGTTAAGAAGTTGGCTACAATCAAGTGTTGCAGGATCCAATCTGTGAACCTTAACCTGATCCCAGAGAAGTAAAGCAGCAGGTAGTTGTAGACTAGGAAGGAGTTGCTCAAGACTCCAATCAAAGTCTGTGATAAAAAGATCACTCTTATAACCATGTCACTGGCTCCCATGATGTCAACTCTTGTGGTCTCAGGATTATGGCTTGGGAAGATGAGGCATTGGCTGTATGCACTATGTTATATATTTACTACATTCTATATCCGTAATAAGACTAATGCAAAATGCTTCCTTGATTTTTTTAAAAAATAGGGACTCAAAAAGCAACATTATAAGCTAAGAGAGGATATAATGTCCAATCTCTAGTTTTGAAGATAGTGTATACAATTTAGTCAATATTCACAGTCTGTGTAGAAGCCTCTGCTCTGGTTCCAGTTACACAGATGATGAAAAGCGAGATAATTTCATCTGAGTCAATTATTTGTAAATTCAAGCTTGGTTAATGATAAGGTGAGGACTTTTCAAGTCTATAATGTCGACAGTTAGGCTACTGGGATCCACAATTACCTGAAAAATGATTCAAGTCAGTTCTTAAAACGAACAGCCTCATACTTAGGTTTGATACTTACACATTTTTATCTTTTCAAAATTACCGTCGTTGCATTTTTTTTTAGTGAAATTTCCATGTGTGCAGCTTATTCTCACATGAGAAAATATCTATTTCTAGTGAACACTGGGTATTTTAATGTACAACAGGAACTATAACAAGCAGGAACCAGTCTCAGGAGAAATAATATACATCAGGGCAAAACAGTCTACTTTTCAGAGAGCTGCCTAATGGTTTAGCAATATATATGTTAGAAAAAGAAATAAAATTACAGCCTAATGGAAACCACTCATATTCACATGCCTTGCCTTAATTCACATGCCTTAATTTCAGGAAGGAAAAGAAGCCCAAATTAAATGTATATGGAGCACACACAGTATAACTATGGATCAGGTGCCACACTTCAGTGCTAACTGGTACCTGTACAAGTGGTCTCTCAGCAGGGAAGTAAGAATTGCAAACCCCCCAACTCCAGTGTGATGTGTGCACACTACCATTTGTCAGAATCAAGATTTTGTGCTTTGTAAACCTTGAAGTATTTGGGGCTGGACAGATGGCACAGTAGCTAAGAGCACTGGCTCCTCCTTTAAAGGACCCAAGATCAATTCTCAGCACAAATGGTAGCTTACAACTGTCTATATCTACAGTTCTGGGGGTTCCAATACCCTTTTCTGGCCTCTGAGCATTCTAGGCACACATGTGATGCACAGATGTGTGTGCAGACTTTCACCCACAAAAATAAATATAAAGGGAATAAATCTCCACTTTGTGCTATTAAAAAACAAATAAGTAAAATATAGCATTCCTTAGAAAAGCTTCAGATTCACAATTGTATTGTAATAGCCAAATAAACTTTCAATTTTCTCCTTCACATTATTGTATCCTCAAGCAGCAAATTAGTCCAGCATATAATTTTTAACTAAAGGAAGAATTAAGAAAGATTTTATGTGTAAACACCGTGGTCCACATCTGACTGGCAGTGTTTGAATTATTAAACAGTGGTGCTTATTTTTGTGCTTATTTTCCTGAGCATGATTTAGGAGGAAAGCTGCCTCATCATAGTATCAGACTATATGTCTTTCAGCGTAGAAGCAGTCCCTGTTTCCATCAATGGCCTCCTGTGACAGTTTGAGATTTTCTACTCAAGCACTCTGCATGCAGATATGCTTTCTGCATGGGATTGCATGGTTCCCTTACCTTCCTCCCACTCTCTGAAGCACACCTGGGGAAACAACTGTAAAATCAGCTCATCATTTGGAAGAATTCCCAGAATTGTAGCTTTGCAGTAGACTGCTTTTAAGGCAACAATTCTCAGCTCCTTGCATTCTAGTTTTCATTATCAGTTGGAGTAAATCACAAGAAGTCCAGTGAGTGGAGGATTCATGAAGGTGAGGATGACAAAGACTGTGTTCTGTGTCTATTACCTCATGTTTGTTTTGCCTGTGTCTTCATCCCATGCTTCAGATCTTTCTCCAATTGCTAGTTGGCTTTGTTATGAAACCTAGTTCAATTCCAAGTTTTCTTTTCTGGATGTCTTGCTTAGCTGGATTCTTCAGATTAGTTTTGCTTTGTGGATTTAGACTCACAAACTCCCCAGGATGCTCTCCAAGTGCTGTTTCCCTTCTCAGGACGGCAATCTCACATCCAGGGTCTTATGGTCCCTGACATTCACTAGAGGGAGGCAATCAGTGCCTGAGATATGGGTCTGTGATTCTGTGACCCCCTCCCCTCAGACCTGCAATTAAATTTTCACCTTCAGTAGTGGTGTGTACACAACTTTTCGTGAAGTAAGGGAAACTTTTCTGAGCATCTCTTCCCCAGGTGTCAGATATTAAAAGCAATTACAAGTTTCTTGCTGTCCCCTCAATGAAATGTTGCAGGTTGGAGCTGCTGTTATCTGTTGAGTTCCTTGGAGACCAGTATGGATGATGAAATTCTAATGTCTGTCTTCCATACATCATCAAGACATGCTTGTATCATACCATTTCATTATTATCTTAATGTGTCATGTGACCAAACCCAATTTGTCTATTTTTCAATTGAGAATGCTGCCTCATTAATTATAGAAGAGAAATTCAGTGCCACTAATATCTTGTTTGTATCTTCTAAGCTAACAGTACAGAACAGGATGTGACTAATTCACATTCACATTGGAAAATGTTGAGATCAAGTGTAGTCTTTAAAGTTAATTCTTTTAGGTATGCATTTATAAATGAAGATAATCTGCTATTGACATTTTGTAAGAAAAATCTCATTTATCCATATTGGTTGATACTAGTATTAGGAGGGAAACCCAGAATATTTTCTATATGAGAAACAGTATTCTGAAAGGAACTCTTCCCAGATGCCACAGTTTGAGAAGATAACCCTTCACCTGTGCTCCTGTAAACAATCACACTGATCTCATTGGTCTACTAAGACAGACTTGGCTGAGGTCATTTTCTTCATTTATTATCAATACACTATTTGAGATGAATATACATTTTCTTGTCCCCAGGAAATATCTCACAGCATAATTGATATCTTGATAGGGACAAGGAGAATTAAAGACCTGCTGGGTGTGAGAAGCTGCACAGTTCCTCTACTTGGGAATAAGACAGACAGGTGGCCATCGGACGTGGTTAACTGTGCCTGTATTACCTGAGATGGTGTTCCTTCTTCCTATAGTGCCAGTTGCATGTTCCCTGGAACAAGTGATAAGAAATATAAATAAGTTAAACTGCCCAAGAGTGTCACCTCTTTATTTGGGATACCAGTACACCAAACTTCCTGTATGTGGACTGGAGTGGCATCCTCCATAGGGAATGTATTATATTAATCCCAGCACTAGGGAGGTGGATACAGGAAATGATATAGCTGGGTGGAGTGAGGAAGGAATAAGGTGGGAGGAGACAGAAGCTCAGCTCCCTTTCAGGTTGAGAAGTCATGGAGGTAGGAGGTGACTGTGGTTTGCTCCTTTTTGTCTCTCTGATCTTTTAGCATTAAACCCTATATCTGACTCTGGGTTTTTATTATTAAGACCAATTAGAATTCATGCTACAAAAGAGCCCAAGAAAAGGCACAGAGACCGAGACCCACTCATTCAAACACTCAGAAATCCCACAAAAGCACTAAACTGGAAGCCACAATATATTTGCAGAGTACCTGGTGCATACCCATATAGGCCACACACACACACACACACACACACACACACACGCATATATATATGTGTGTGTGTGTGTGTGTGTGTGTGTGTGTGTGTGTGTGTGTGTGTGTGTGTATTGCCTCAGTGTCTGTGAGTTCATATGAGCTTCATCATGTTAATTTAGAGGGCTTTGTTTTCTTGGTGTCCTCTATCCACTTTGGCTTGTAAGACTGGTTCACCATGAGGGGTGGGGTTTGATGAAGACATCTTGTTTAGGGCTGAGTGTTCCAAGGTTTCTCAGTTTGTATAGTTGTATAATGTCTGTTTGTGGAACTTTGTATTTGTTCCCATCTGCTGCAGGAGGAAGCTAGCTGTTAGAAAGAACACAAAGGAGACCGCTGGTACAGAGGCCTTGGTGAGGACTATAGTCTAGGGAGCCAATGAGACGAATCAGACAGTGGGATCGTAATGTACAGGCAATAGAAGATACATCTCAACCCTGACATTTAGCACAAGGGAAGTTTGTATTTTCCTGAAGGAGGAGAAATTTGGGGAGTCTCTGTGGTTTGTCAGTACTCCATTCTGATAAGAGACATGGATATACTAAAACAGTAGAGCGGATATGTTGCTGGATATCCTGCCAGAACTGAAACAGAAGAGTCAACATGCTTTATCATGTCCCTGTCACCTCCTTCATCTGAGCTGAGCTGGTCAGGACTGGCCTTCTCCATCAACACCTATAGGAACACCACAGCCATAGGAGCACCCCACAGTATAACAGATGGGTGGCTTATGGAGAATAAAAGTGGATTAAGGAGGTTTGATTGGGAGAGATTGGCCAGGTTGAATCTCTTGATTTAAGTCAGAGGAAAGGCAGCAAAACCAGGGGACTCAAGAAAGCTGACAACTTGAGTGTAGTTTGAAGGACAAGGCTCATTTTTATCACATCTCCTTTGATAACAGTTATGTGATCACAGTTCATCAGAGAAGCCTGCTTTACAGGCCAGCTTTATACAAGCCTGCCCAAGATTGTATAAAGCACAACAATGTCATTTGTCTTCAGGATAACATCTGAGGTGGGAGAACATCATTTATCCTAACTCTTCTCTAGAAATTGAGGAAAGTCACAGGAATTGCTGTGTTCTTACTCAGGTTTCTTTTTTCACACTTCAAATTCCCTACTGAGAAATATCAATATTGATGTTTCCAAGCACATGCCACAAGTTTATTATATTATCACACAACCTCTATTCTAAGCACAACTCTGGATGACACAGTGTTCTGCATCCATGACATACTCCTCAGAATGACTCTATTGAAAAACAGTAGGTGCAGATTAGGAGATCTTTTTATGATTTGCTGAAGCTCACTCATATTTTATTGTAGTAACCTTTTATCTGCAGAATACCAAGACCCACTGGTACTTGCTTTGAGAAGAC